TTGTTTTGTTTTGTTTTGTTTTGTTTTGTTTTGTTTTGTTTTGTTTTATGTTATGTTATTAAGCTGACTGCCTTCTCTATACCAGACAGTAGAGTGAGTTGATTATACAAAATAGCCTCGAGCCCCTATACATGCTAAAATTTATCTGATTATTCCTTTATTATCTATATAATTACAAGAAAGTTTTTTTATGTAATTTTTGAACCATGTGAAAACAGTATAATAAAAACTTCTGTGTACCCATCACCTAGTTTTAACAGTTATCAACAGAATACCAATCAGTTTCATCTCTAATTATTCCCCTACCCCCTAGGTGATTTTAAAGCAAATCCTGGGGATTTATCCAGAGATAAGTAAGTATATGTATCTCTTAGAGATGCAGATTTATTTTACACATGATTACACTGCCATGAATTACATCTAAGATATTAACGGTACACTTTTAATATCGTCTGATCAGTTTTCTTCACAGTGTGGAATTTCTCCCTCTGTTTTGGTCCTCCTTTTTCATGTTGATCGTGGTGATGATTGGAGGTCGTTTTAAGCAGGCCAGATGAACATTTTTTCTTGCTGCCCCCAAAGGAATTGCCACACAATAGTCCAGAATATCACCCACCAGATTTGTCAGCAGGGAGCTCCTGAGACAGTTGACTCGCTTAGAGGACCAGGTTGTGGCTGAATTGGTGTTTCCTCAAGACCACTCAAGTGGTTGAGAGACAGACTTATCTGAAGCATATTCGGGCAAGCAGAGAGAGGATTCTTGCATTGAGGGAAAATGGCCTAGGGAGGGGTCTTCTGAAATGGCTGCCTATGAGGAGGAGAGGCTCTAAACAGAGGATCCTCATGTATGCCCAAGGACTTTGAGGAACTGTAGCTTATGTCATGTGTTGGAAATAAGAAAGAACTTAAACATGGTGAGAATTTCAAGTGAATCAGGAGGTCCAGAGAAAAGTCCAGATGTAGGACTCACTCTGACCCCAGATGCCCAATTCTGTCTGGAGGCAACCGCCATCAGCAGTTTCCCATGCATTCTTCCAGAGACTGCCCACACATCTAGAAGTATTTATATGTGTATATATAAATATATATACTTGATTTGATGAAGCTTTGATCTGGTTCTATTTCCTCTCTGATCCACCACTTCTTGTTTGCTCCTGCAGTTCCTGCCAAGCTGGCCTTCTCAGTGTGACAGGAACTGTGAGCAAACCAGAAGTGTCAACATATGCCAGGCTGGCTCCAACCTCAAGGCCTTTGCACTTGCTGTTTGCCCTGCCTGGAGTGCCTTTCCACCACGTATCCACCAGGTCTTCCTCACATACAACTTAGGCCCTCCCGTGATCTCTTGACCTACAGTTTCAACCCCCATACACAACGTTTGCAGCCCTTGACTCCTTTTGTTTCGTAAGCACTTAACCACTAACATTTCCTATGTTTTACTTAATTCATCCTTGATAATTTCCCCCCTCCACACACACTGGAATGTAATTTCCATGAGGGCAGGGATTTTTTAAAATGTATTCCCTCTTTAAATACTTTATTATGAAAAATTTCAAGCATACAGAAAAAGTGAACATCTGTATAATTGCTATCATACCCACCGCTTAAATTTAACAATTGTTAATATTGTGTCATATTTACTTTGTGTCTACATATTCTTTTTACTGAACCAATGAAAAGTGCAGTTGGAAGAGTGCCTGGATGGCTCAGTCAAGCGTCCGACTTTAGCTCAGGTCATGATCTCACAGTTCATGGTTTAGAGCCCCACATCAGGCTCTGCTGACAGCTCAGAGCCTGGAGCCTGCTTCAGGTTCTGTGTCTCCTCTCTTTTTACCCCTCCTCCACTCACGTTCTCTCTCAAAAATGAATAAACATTAAAAAAAAAATTTTTTTTTTAATAAAAGTACAGTAGGCCCTCAAGCAAGGTGAGGGTTAGGAATGCCGACAATCCATGTATTAAAAAAATATATAGGGGCGCCTGGGTGGCTCAGTCGGTTGGGCGGCCGACTTCGGCTCAGGTCAAGATCTCGCGGTCCGTGAGTTTGAGCCCCGCGTCGGGCTCTGTGCTGACTGCTCAGAGCCTGGAGCCTGTTTCAGATTCTGTGTCTCCCTCTCTCTGACCCTCCCCCGTTCATGCTCTGTCTCTCTCTGTCTCAAAAATAAATAAACGTTAAAAAAAAAATTAAAAAAAAAAAAAATATATATATATATAACTTTTGACTTCCCACAAACCTAGCTACTAATAGCCTACTACTGACTGGAAGCCTTTCTGATAACAGAAATAGTCGATTAACACTCGATTATTTTCTATGTTCTATGTATTATATACTATCCTTACAATAAAGTAAGCTAGAGAGAAGAAAATGTTATTTAAAAACCATAAGAAAGAGAAAATACATTTACAGTACTGCACGTATATGTAAATCTGCTCGTAAGTGGACCCTTGCAATTCAAATACGTCTTGGTTCAAGAGTAACTGATTTCCAAACATCTTGACACTTCAGTCCTAAGCACTTAAGTATGTATCTCTGAAAAATGACGCGTTCCTTCATACCATTATCACTTGTAAGAAAAACTAACATTAATTCTCTAATGTCTGATATTCCGATTTCCCGAATTGTATCCCAAAAGTCTTCTATACTGTTTTGTGTTTTGTTCCAGGATCCAATGAAAGTTCAAATTCTACATTGGTTTTTTAGGTCTCTAATGTCTTTTTAAATTCTACAGTAGCCTCCCTGCTCCACCCCACCCAGTTATTTATAAGACGGGACTTTTTTTTAAGAGGCCAGGCCAGCTGTCTTGTAGAATGTCCCCCACTCTGGATTTGCCTAATTGTTTTCTCGTGGTGTCAATTAACTTCTTCTGCCATCTTCTGGAGATCTTACAAACTGGAAGTTTGCTCTAAAGGCCTGATTAGGTGCAGGTTAAGTACTTTTTACAAGAATCCTTCCTATGTATCTGACTTCTTGCTTCCCGTCAGGAGGTACTTGGTGCCATGTAGCCCCAATAGTGCCGGTCAAGTCTAATCCCTGGGAATGGTGATGGCCACCAGGTGTCTCCTCCAGAAAGATGTTATCCCTTTTCGTCACAGGCAGATGACCTGTTGGGTGGTGCTGTGATGAATGGTTCTGCCATGGCACCTCCACAACCTTGCACATCTCCACGTAAGCCACACAGGGAAAACTTAACTGTGATCTGACCCGAACTTTGGCAGAAGGCCTGCTGACTCCGGAAACGAAGATGAGTGGTCTTGTGAAGAGCTGCCGTGAGGCAGTTTCTCATCCACTTCCGTCTCTTTTTTAATGTTTATTTCTGAGAGAGAGAGAGAGCAAGCAGGGAGGGGCAGAGAGAGGGAGACACAAAATCTGAAGCAGGCTCCAGGCTCTGAGCTGTCAGCACAGAGCCCAATGTGGAGTTTGAACCATGAACCATGAGATCATGACCTGAGCCGAAGGTGGATGCTCGACTGATGGCCACACAGGCGCCGCCCCCCCCCCACCCCAACCTGTCTCTTGCAGGAGACTGCTACAAGACCATTTCTCGTCCACCTCCCTTGTTTCCATTCAGCATAGGACTTTCTTCCTCACCCTTCCGTAGAGCTGCAGGCTATAAAACGACTCTGAAGCTACCATGCTGAGCACCTTACCTGCCTTATCTCTGGCCTAACAACTCGAGCTAAAAATTGTATTATGACCCCTACTATACAAGTGAGGAAACTGACACTTCCAGCCCCCTGCCAGTTGATGTGGCTGTGGATTTCCTTTTCGTGTGTCTGTACAGGAGAGGGTTCAGTGCAGAAAACCGAAACCTCCCAAAGCATATTAAGTAGAAAGAGACTTAATATGAGGAATTTGGATATAGTATCGCACCCTTATTTCATTATATTTAACTCAACACGAGCCTATATTTTACAGTTTTGTTGTTGTTTTTTTATGTTTATTTTTGAGAGCATGAATGGGGAGGTGCAGAGGACAGCATCTGAAGTTGGCTTTGCGTTGACAGCAGAGAGCCCGAAGTGGGACTCAGGAACCTGAGCTAAAGTCGGATGCTCAAACGACTGAGCCACCCAGGTGCTCCAATATTTCTTATTTTTAAGTAATCTCTATACCCACCATGGGGCTTGAAATTCACAACCCCAAGATCAAGAGTCACATGCTCCACCAACTGAGCCAGTCAGGCACCCCAAACATTTTTAATGACATTTATGAGACCGTTGGAAATTTGAATACTGACTGAATATTTTATTCTGTTAAGGAGTTATTGTTAATTTCTTAGGTGTGATGACGATACTGAGGTGGTGTTTTAAGCTTTTCTTTTTTAGAGATACTTCCTGAGTATACTGAATACTGACATATTTATGGTTTCCAAAAATGCTTAAAATTGGATCAAAACTCCTTAGCAGTTGGAAGACCAAGAGAAGCGGGCTCTAGCCCGGGTTTGCAGAAATGACTCTCAAGAAAATACTCAAGGGGCGCCTGGGTGGCTCAGTCAGTTATATGTCTGACTACGGCTCAGGTCATGATCTCACGGTTCGTGAGTTCGAGCCCCACATCAGGCTCCGGGCCGTGGAGCTTGCTTCAGTTTCTGTGTCTCCCTTTCTCTCTCTGTCCCTACCCTGATTGCGCGCGCTCTCGCTCTCTCTCTCTCTCTCTCTCTCTCTCTCAGAAAATGAATAAAACATTTTTAAAAAATTAAAAAAAAAAAAAACCTCAAGCACAGGCATGCTACAGGGCCCAGCTACCCCTCCTATAATTGAGAAGTTGAGGAATCAGGCAGTGCCTAGTGGTGCCCATGAACATGCTATTACAACTGCTCCAGGAGCAAGAGCCCACCATTC